AATTTTTTCCTCTCAATAGCTAAGGTCAGGTTCCCCAAGTAGAAAGGGGAGTTTGTAAAATCTTTTGAAAACCTGCATGTTAACTTGCAGCAGGACTTAAACATATAAATTAGCTATCGTGTCTTTAGGAGCAGCAGGATTACGTGAGGCTAATCATTGCATTTTATCTGAATGGAAGACCAAATTATACATCCCAGCCCATGGAAATCCACAAACAAAGTCAACAGCAGAAAAATTCATGTTCAGTAAAAACCACCCATTGTCAAGTGTAACAAAATAGGAGAAAAGTATATGTTAGGACTGAATTTCTGGCTATGAAACATCATCTGAAGCCGACTTCTTATAACGCAGTTTTGCCTGTAAGGATGCAGATGGCATCAAGAGCATAGTGAATTGGAACCTGCCTCACTCATGCTCTCTGAATAAATTCGAACTATTGCAGGAACTCTGTGCGCAGAATGTCAAAGCCAGGCACTGTAATCTCTTGATGCCTGAAAGTAATATATCATCCCAAATACAATTAACACACCACAGGCTTATTACCAACAAAAGCAAAACACAACTTAGATATTTTTATTCCTAGCACATTGAGCATTCACACAAAGAAAGAACAAAAGTTCTGATTTAAATTTGGCTTAATCACTTCAGTGAAAATTTGTCTGCAGAACTTGAGAAATCCTTAAATGCTCATTGCAGATGTTGGCTTGTAGGATCAGAAATTCACATCCATAATAATAACTGTCCCTGGAGCATTATGGTTTTAAGTGCCAGGGCACTGAGGCAGAAATTTACAAAGTGAAATTCTGGTCCTATTGAAGTTGGTAAAGGCTTTGCCACAGATTTCCATAGGGCCAGTATTACTATTGCTCTACAAATAATAACCAGAATCACCTTTGAATATCTATTTTTTTATGGCGATATACGTTAAGATATTGTATGCATGCTGCACTAAATGTAATCTGCATACTTTGATACCAGGAGACATCTGTGCTCTGAAACAAATAGAGAAAATAGGAAGTGGAAATGCTAGTGGCCTTCTAAATTTCCCAAGCGAATCAAACTTTAAACCACGCTTTCCTTAAGAACAGTAATTACACTCTTACCCTAAAAAATGCCACTGTCCTCAATAAGCCTGCAGAGATGTCATCAAAGGATCACTGACACAATGTTCCAGCATGGGGACATCTACTGCTTAATCACTGCAAGTTGCAGGGACTCTGATACTAACCACACAAGAGTAGAACGATCTGGGGCAGCATTTACAGGCCAAGGTAAATTGGAACAGATTTGTTTTCTCCAATGATTTATTTAATTACCTTTCAAATTAAGCTAGCTATTCAAGTAATTCCAGAAACAATCCCAAGGTCTGAATAATCCATGGCAAAACAGATGTGATCTCAGAGAGAACTGTTTCAGCACCAGGCTTACAGGAGAACTGCATTGGTAGGCAGGTGCCTATCTCCCTGCTGACAGAGCATGTTATATCAACTAACTTGAATTTTGCAGCTGTGCTCCACTGGGGTTTTAGAATAGATCAAGCAGACTTGGTATCACAGACGTTAAAGGGCAGAAATCAAAGGTGTTGGCAGATCAACAGACTCTCAATTCTGCCTCTCAGGCCTAGGAAAAATGAAAGGAAGGTTCAACACCAACTGTAGGCTCCAATGTGCTTTGGCAGAGCTCAAACTGCTGTACCCTTTTCACAGAAGCACGGCAACTTGTTCTCAGCACCCACTGCACAGACCCCTCAGCTCTGAACATGCTCCCAAAACCAAACCAAGCCAGCCCAACTCAGATGCAGGCTGCAAAGATGTAGCTTCTGAGTGCTGGAGCATCTGGGGACAGCAGAGGGCCCAGGTGTGAACATACACTACGGGAATGCCCATCTTGTTACACTGCCAGATGTCAGTTTCTGCAACACTAAATGAACACTGAGAACAATGGCTTCCTAAAAGTCAAGCAGCAAGAAAAAAATAAAATTAACAAGTTAACACCTCAAGAAATAAATGGTGATGAGCCCTGCCTAGAAGGGATGTTGGCTGCTGAGGCCTGGCAGAGCTGGGAGACAACACTGCCTCAGTTCAAGAATTCTTTACTAATTTTCAGTTACACATTTCTTGTTGTTTAAAAATGACATTACAGATTCCCCTGGCAATAGCAGAAAATTAATTTCTCTAGACTCCCAGAGTGAAAGCCATGCTTCTTGTATGCACTCAGCTGATCCAAATACTACTTCATTTTCCTCTCTGCTCCTTGAAAAAGAAAAAAAAAAAAAAAGACATGCAAGCCTGCCAAGGCAAGGAAAGAAAATGCAGTTGAAGAGATCATGAGAAATTTGGTCTTACAGGTACCAAGCATCACCAGAGGATGACACAGTGCATGTGGGCTTTGCTCCCCTACCTTGTACCTTCAGAAGCCCTGGCTGAGTCCTACTATGCAAGAGTGGCATGGGCAGCCCTAGCAAATGCCATTTTCTAGAAAACCCAAGGAACTCAAGGCACAGCTCCTCTAGTGTGAGTAATAACATGCAGAAAACACACAAACAATGTGTTACATTTCAACACATGCACCCAGGAGAGATGCTGGATTATGTGACACTGCATACAGCAGAAAGCATGTGGACAGAGGATCCCAAAGACATCAGGTGGGAGGGATCTCTGAAGATCCACAGTCTCACCTCCCACTCAGAGCAGGACCACCACCAATATCAGAACCATCCACTCCCTGGGACTCTTAACTGGATGATTCCTGTTCTTTTGTATATGGCTGTTAACAGCTTATGAAGTGCTTGGGAGTGTCTGCATGGCAAACAGCCAGAGAGGAGAACAAAACCTATCATCTCCAGGCCTTGCCTTCTACCTTGGTCAAGCAAGCATGCAAGCAACAGAATGAACTGTCCTGTAGCACTGAGGAGAAAATTGGTCCCCCTCCCTTTGCTCCTAATCATCACTGAAAAGAAAATTTTGGTCCAAAAAAAATGAAGTCAGCAGTCCTCAGGAAAAGGTGAAAGGGCACCTCCCTGGCTGGGGCCCTGCTGATGGCACCCCTTGGGCTGTGCAGGAGTCCTTTCTTCTGCACTCACAGAAGAATCCAAGCAAGTAATTTAAAAGTGCCTGGGGGCAGAGCTTGTCACTAGATCAGGTTTGCCCTGTTAAAATAATAAATGAGGTAATGGATAAAACTGCCTTCGATTTGAGTACATTTCATTCATAAAACAGAAATGCCAACAGCTTTGCTACCACATAAACTTCATAGATGGTTTAAAAAAGTCCCCGCACCTTTCCTAGCAATAGACCAGGCCCAGCAGCAGGGATTCTGTGGCACAAGACACACTCTGTTTCCAAGGACAGCTCTGCAAGTTGAAATGAGAGCTGACAACTTCCAGGTCATTAATCTGACAGTGTAAATAGAACCCATGTACCAGTACATGCGTTGAGGTGGACTACAGGAACAGCCAGAAGAGGAGAACTAGACAAATACTATTCTGCTTTTTGTTCTGAGAAAAACTTTCATAATAATTCTCCACTCTCTCCTACTCATCCTCAGGATATGTGGAGCCTGGTGCTGGCTATATTTGTGTTGCTAGCTGAAAGAACAGCAGAACATGCCAAGTGTTTAACAACAAAATTCCAGCCTTGTGACACAACCCAGTAATCCCAAGACTGGAAAGTAACCTCATATTTCTACTCAGCATAAAACTCTAATCCTAACAAGAGCACTGCTACTTTTAATTTGCCTGATGCTTTTCTAAAGACATGTATCTCACAAATTAAGAAAGTTACCATAGACCAGGTTGAACAGGGATGTGTTACCTATGTACATGTGGCATCTACAGATTGGTATAATTACAATAACACAGAAACTGCTAAAACTAGTTATGCTCATCTCTGTGCCCTTTCACAGAATTGGTTGTAGTTGGATGAGTTATTGCAGTGGCAACTACTGGTCCCCCACCACCCTGGGACACCTCTCAGGACACTCCTGTGATGAGGAAAAAAATGGAGAGTTGCAGGGTCCTAGGAAAACCATGGCTGGGAGTGAGCATGCATATAACAATTCTAATCTAATATCACTACTAAAAAATAGTAAAGCAGGCAGCTTAGCAAGCCAAAACCCCAGGTTCAGGCCAGGGACAAATATACATTATCATCTAAGGACTCATCAAGACCTCTGCAAAAGGGTGAGGTCTCTCTCTCCCAACCCCCAGCTGGTGTTTCAACCACTGTTTGCCTCAATCACTTCCATCACCAGAACCCAAGCAGCTTCTCACTACTGCAGCTGTCCTGGCTTCAACACTGTTGAGGCTTGCAATACAGAAAGTGCCATGAAACACCTGGAATTCCACTTTAAAACAGCTTTTACTGTCACTAACTGCTCTGCAGATGTGGCGATGTGCCTGACAAAGGTGTAGCAGAAGCCTATGCTGTATCCCAGCACAGACAGCAGAACTGCTCATCTGTCTAGACTTAAAAGTCACAAAAAAGCAGAAAAATTGTGCCACTGCACACAGCCCTGTACAGCTACAATATGCAACACAGGAAACTGCACATGCAAGTGTTTTAGGGGAAGACAGAAATAATATTAAGTTACGCTAGCAGAAATAATCTGTGGACCAGGTACATTTATTCCTACACCCAGAAGCAGAAAAGGTTTACACACCTATTAAATAAATATCCAGTTAGCTATTCCAATCATTGGACTGCTACCATGCATAAGGGTTAACCACAGAGTTCATGCAATTTTGTGCTGTCTTGCCCTGGCACTACAATTTTTTCTGCAAAGCTCTTTTTCCATTCCTAACTGTGATGGGCGTATTTTGCAAAGATCAAGATCTGGCCATATTACTGTAACGGCTATATGGAAGCATGACTTATGAAGAAACAAATTTAGCTTCAACCTTGACTAGGTCATCTTTTGTATTACAAAGAAAGACACTTAGTGTTAGGAACAGTCTTATGGATAGACATAAAAGGCCGGTATTGAACAAATACTACGCTTACTCTGCGAAATGACACCACATAGAATGTATCTTCCCTTCTGCGAATAGCTTCAAAAAAATCTTGATAGCTCCTTGGAGAGGCGTAATACACTTGCAGCTCATTCCCTGAGTTCCTGCTG